ACATATTAAAGCTGGTTTTAGCATATTAATTAATTAATTTTATTGAATATATATACTGCCTTATGCCCGGAGATCTCAGGGCGGTTTACAGAACAAAATCAAAATATAAAACCACAATATATAATCAAAATAAAAACAACAACCCAATAACACCTCCCAAAAAGAACCGCATTTTAAAAGGCATAGGATGTTCCCATTAATTCCTCTTCTGTCCCTAACGAACTGTTACAGCTATGCTTTAACTCAAAATTTACATTATTATTTTGCCACCCAGAATACTCTTTACTCCAGAATCAGCATTCAAAATGACCTTAACAGATTGGAGAACTGGGCGCCAGCTAAAAAAATGAATTTCAATAGGGACAAATGTAAGGTTCTGCACTTAGGCAGGAAGAACCAGATGCACAAATATAGGATGAGGGACACCTGGTTTACTAGCAGTATATGTGAAAAGGATCTAGGGGTCTTGGTGGACCACAAGCTTCACATAAGTCAACAGTGTGATGCAGCAGGAAAAAAAGCTAATGCTATTCTAGGGTGCATCAACACAAGTATAGTGTCCAGATCAAGGGAAATAAATAGCACCCCTCTATTCTGCATTAGTCAGACCACACTTGGAGTATTTTGTCCAATTCTGGGCACCACAATTTAAGAAGGATGATGACAAGCTGGAACACGTGCAGAGGAAGGCAGCCAAGATGACCAATGGTCTTGAAACTAAGTCTTATGAGGAGCGCTTGAAGGAGCTGGGTATGTTTAGCCTGGAAAAGAGGAGACTGAGAGGAGATATGCAAGAAAGGAGATTCTGACTAAACATTCGGAAAAACTTTCTGACAGCTGAACAGCAGTGGAACTGACTCTCATGAGAGGTGGTGGACTCTCTTTCCTTGGAGGCTTTTAAGCAGAGGTTGGATGGCCATCTGTCATGGATGCTTTGATTGAGTTTTCTGCATTGCAGGGGGTTGGACTAGATGACCCTTGGGATCCCTTTCCAACTCTAAGAGTCTATGATTCTATGATTTTCCGAAGTGCAGAGTGGATGGTTGAGGCAGAGAAGTAGTTCTGTCTTTACCAACAGTCACACATCTTGCATTAGGGTTTCTAAAGTGTGGAGTTGGCTTTTTTTAAGGCAGCACATGTATGTGCTTGGGGAAGAATTAGGTGCCTGAGATTCCACAACAGATTTTTTGGTTCAGAGGGTAGGAGGCCCATTGACCTCCTACTTCCCTGTCAAAAGTGGTGGCTGTGTGGGCTGTGCCCCTTGATTCCATATTGATTGACAGTGTTATGTAGGCTTTCCTTCTTCTTTTGAATTCTGTAAGCCATAGACCTGAAAACAGATGTGTGCTCTGCAACCTCCTTTCTCCTAGGATTTGCTTTCCTCTGTCCAGTAAAGCTTAACTGCCTTAAGAACATAAGGAGACCTCTGGATCAGATCAAAGCCTATCTAGTCAAGCATCCTTTTCTCACTCTGCCAGGCAGATGCCTATGGAATACTTCTTCTGGTATTTGATCTCAACAATTGATTCCCTTGTTGATGTTTGTGGTGGAAGTATCACTACAAAACAGTTCTTTTCTCCTTTTCTAGTAATCTGGCAAAGAAGTCTTGTGAAGCACCCCCTCCCCCCAAATGTGGTAAAAACACATGACACAGTGTCAAGAAAAGGGCATGTTTCTCCCAACATCTTTTCATGTGCAAATTTTGCCACCTAAGAGCCTTTTCATTTGGCCATGATCACATAAGAGTAAAAACTTCCATAGTGACATTATACCTCAAAAAAGATGGCATGGCATCTGTTCAGGGGAGAGCCAGAATATTTCATTGTTCTTTGTTAAGAGATTTGGGTAGAGTTTTGTGATGCAAAGGAGTAAATGGTTGCTGTAAACCCAGTAGCAGTGTACAAGCAGGTTATGACTACAGATACAGCTTTTTTCATCTCTGCGTGACAAGCTGCCACCTGCTTCTGCATAGCATTAAAGGCAGAGGAATAAACTCTCTTTTTTGCATCTTGGGAAGACGCTGTGTGGAAACCACTGGCCAACTGTTTGTTTGTTTCACAAAATAATGAATAAAGCATGGTTTGATTCTCTTGAGACAGAGAAGGTTCAACCATTTACAGTCAATTTCCATGTCCTGGAACTAATGTTATTTAACTCAGTTTTGACACACACACCCCACTTTTTTAAAAAAAGATTGTAGACTAGAGTGGTTGGAACGGGCCTGCATAAGCTGCACCGTCAGCCAGACACTTCTTTCTCAGACTATAGTAATAATTACATGTTCACCTCTGTTTTATCACTGAAGTTATGCACAAATAAATATTGCCTGCTAGATATCCTTCAGCTGAAAATGCAGTTTCTTAAGGCCTGGGCAATATTTTTCATGTGTTAATTCTACATAATAAATATGAAACATTATTGATATCAATAGTTCAACTGTTGGGCATTTGAAAAGACACCACTATTCTTAATGGTTTCCTTTTCTGCATTCCCGACCCCTACTTACTGGGTTATAAAATGCTATATATATATTCTGTCCAGAGCATTTTTGTATAGGGGTACTTGAGCTTTCTTCAATGTGGTAACAAATGGATTGCAAATATTGGCAGAGCGACTTTACATTAGGCATGTTTCTTTGTCTCTGACCATACCTGAAGCTAAGTCGCTCTGCCAATATTAGCAATCCATTTGTTACCATATTTGAGTCAGACACATTTTTTAAAATAAAATATTCTCATATTGCCACGTCAAAACTGTCCCTGGTTAACACTATGAAATATATGTTCATTGCAAATTTCATACTAAGAATTAAAGACTAGGAAAACATTTTCTGTGTGATAATTTTGGGTGGTATTAATTTTTCTCATTTTGTATATGCACGAATGGCATTTCCCACCAATCCAGAGAGAGTGCCTTGACATTTTTCATATTGCAGTTATAGAAAGTCAATATTTTCAGAACAGATATTATCTGATACAATGTTGGTGCTCTCTTGGCACTAGATATATTCACTTTTATGGTAATATTATATCTCAAGAAGAATATTGACTCAGAAAATCACATCTCCTGAGTAAAGTGCGTCATATTTAATCAAGCTGAAATCACTGACTCCTGGCTTTCAACAAATGTATGATACTAGTTCACATGAGTAAAATTATGAAGCAGCCTTTCACTTTCTTTCTGCTTATATTCCTGTAAAACAAAAACAACTTTATACCCTGAAAATCACCTTAAGTGCATTGGTGGTGATTAGATTCTGCAGTTCTTACCTCTGGAAATAGTGAAAGAAAATCACTGTGAACTATCTCCCCATCCCCCCAAAAGCAAAAATACCCCAGAACATGGATGCTCTTTTTCTAGATTGCTGCAGTGCAACCGCTTTGTAGATACATTCTCTCCCAAGTGGCCAGAGATGGGCATAGTACAAAGCCAAATCAAGTTATGCAACAGAAGTGGTGAAATTATTTGCCACCTTTTATAAACATGCTCCAGTTTGTTTCTGAAGATGGAGGGGAAAGATCTGTTTTTCATAAAAGAGTAATATGTGGTTGCTAATTATAAAATATTTAGAGGAATTTTTCATTTGGTTATATTTTGCCATGGCATTTAAGGTGGGTCTTATGGATTACAAGTATCCACCATGACAACCTCCAATCTATTCTGAACATTGCATCCGTATTAAAATAAACAAACAAGTGTGTCCCTAAAATGCCATTCAGCAAGGTTATACAAAAGAATCAATTGATTCCCAACTCCAACCCCCATTGATCCATGGACTTTTCCTAAAAGAGAATATTTCTGGTGTGCTTTTCCTTAGACTGGGCAAGTATCCAGTTTTCACTGCAAGCTTTTTCTAGTTGCTGTGCTGTATTTAAAATGTAGCTCTGCCAGCTTTCTAAATACCCAAAGTGGCAAATTGCATACTGAAACACCACCAAGCACAACGTAGCATTTTTTCAAGATAGAAAAATGACAGATTTAATGCCTCCATTGTCAATCACGTTAATGCCTCTAACACTGTTGCAGAATGAATTTCCAATGAGCACCCAAGCAAATGTGTGCAGGAAGTGGTTTTGCCTTTGTAACTGTACATTTCAGCTCCTCTAATTGCATCAATAAGGAATTTGGTCGTCTCATTTAATGAATGCCTTTTGACTACTTTCTGAAAGGCAACTGACTGTGAGAAGGGAGAAACACTAGCATCTTTTATATGAAACCACATAAACAGGTTTCAATTAGTAGTTATCAACTCTACAAACTATTGTGTTAGAGCACAGTGCAGTGAATCCCATTCTGTTCTACTACCCATCTTTTATTCCTCATGAAAGCTTTTATTCCTCCTCTGAACTTCAAATGATTCCCCTGCCCCTGCCCCCACCCTCAGTAGTTCAGGATGTTGCTTTAAACCCACTTGCTTCTGATAATGCCTTGCATTCAACAGAAATTAAGCATTCGGCCACAGTTGTTCCTGCACCATCTATAAGCCAAAGCATGTCCTAAAATGTGTATGAGCCTACAACACTTGGCTGCCATGCATCCTTTAATCATGAAGTGAATTTCAGTATTTATTAAAATGCTTGCACTGTTCTTTTTTTAGCATTATTTGTCCACATAAAATCAGCACATATTCAAACAACACTGCATTTAAAAAAAAACGCAGCAACACTGCAGATGTGATTTATGAGCTATGAAATAAGCTTTCCATTGAAATAATGATGATGGAATAAAAACCAACAAAGCACCTGTACCAACAGGTACTGTGTCGAACCTGAACTCAAACTTCTGATTTGCATTCTCTTCACTTTCAGCGGATTTATGGAGGAAAGTTTAAAATGATAAAAGGAAAGGAAAAGGCCAACATATGATGAGCATGTATCAAGATGTGATATAGAAGTAGTTGTGGCAGAAAAGAGAAATGTAACCTTCATCTTAGTCACTGAGGTTCAACAAACCCACCTTTTTTTAAAAGCTTATTTTATTTGAATCACAATGGTTCATACCTCACATTCCCTGGAGCCTGCTTTGCTATATGTGCAGGGTCCCGTCCCGTTCAGCAGCATCTCACTGGTCTCGGTGTTAGTTGGCTTATAATCGACATAAAATTCCTGTGTGGTTGGAGTCATCTGCTTCAGCGACTGCCGTTTCTTCTTCCTGTGCCTTCGCATGAGAGAGCGCTGCTGCAGCTGCTTCATGCTGGCAGGGTACCGCTTCCACGACACATAGATTACCAGCAGGATCACAAGCACAGACAAGAAAAGGGCCACACTCCCTGCTATGATTTTGTGGAAAGAGATGTGTTCTGTGTCGTGCTCAGGCTCTGAGCTGGCTTCTGTGGACCCGACGGTGGGGGGCAGAGGGGGCTTGCTGTCATGCTTAGGCCTGATGACTTTGGGTTTAAAGGTTGGCTTTGGGAAAGCCTGTGGCAATTCAAACCTCTCTGTAGTACTTTTGCCACATATGCTGTAATTTTTCACTGCATCAATAACGTTCACCCCCTGCAGCTCTTTGGGGCTGGCACAGATAATTGTATTTTCCCTCAGCCCTTTAAAACTTTTTAGCCAGTTTACCAGGGAGCAAATGTTCCTGCTGCATTCCCATATATTCCCAGCAAGGCTGATGTCATTGAGAGATATCCAAGAATCCAAAATCTCTTGACCAATAAATGTGAGCTTGTTGGAATCCAGGTTGAGACGCTGTAAATTGGGCACACACTGGAAAACACTAGGTCCACTGAAAGCTTCTATTTCATTGCCAGATAAATCAAGCCTTTGTAATGAGCTCCAGGTCCAGGACATCGTTTGTCCTATAACACTGATTTTATTCCACTGTAAATAAAGGTTCTGGAGGCTGACTAGCCTTGGAAAAAGAGCCAAGTTAAGCTTAGAAAATTGATTGTGCTCCAGGTGAAGCTCTTTCAGCCTGATCATGCCTGCAAAGACATTCCTTGCTAAGCTTCGGATTCTGTTGTAGCCCAGGTCTAAGAGTTCGAGGTTCCTACAGTCCTGGAAAATTCGGACAGGGATTGTTCTCAGGGAATTGGACCGCAAATGTAAACTCAGCAGCTTCCTTAAGCCCCTGAATTGTTCAGCTCCCAGAGACTGCAGCTGATTATATGACAGATCCAAGTTCCGGAGATTTGTTACTGGTCTGAAGGTGTTATTAAGAAAATAGGCAATTCTGTTGGAACTTAAAATCAACTCTTTTAGCCTGCGTATTCCATTGAAAGCATTTTCATCGATATTGCTGATGTGGTTATGGTCTAGATAGAGCCAGGTGAGTTGATTAAGACCTTTAAACTGATTGTATTTTAGTTTCTGGAGGCTGTTGTATCGGAGGGACAAACCTAAACAACCAGCTGATATACTTGAGGGTATCTCCTGTAATTTCTGGGACTCGCAATATACCATTTTGCCTTCGCACCTACAGCCCTTTGGGCATCCTCGTTCAGCAGAAGAAAGCATTGTCAGTAATACAGTAGGGGCTATTACCAGGGCTACAGCTGATCCGCTCAGTAGCCTAAATACATTGAAACCTGGAAATAAAAATAACTTAGAAAAGTTATCCCCCCAAATAAACAATCCAGATCTATTTCAATCATGCTCAGAATTGCTACTTAAATGCATAAGAAACCCCCAGCAGCATAAGTACTTTGTAGCTTGCCCCCACTTTATTTTAATAAAGGAAAATGTAATAAAGAAAAAAAAATCATGCACATAAGCTAGCCACAGTCAAATACAATCTCTTGGAAATTTAACTCTGGTCACATCTTGCAGGGAGGCAAACCTATAGAGCAATTAAAACAGAATCAGTGCAGGCACTGCTGTAGGCTAACTATAAATAAATAAAATGGAAAACCTACCCATCCTTTGTGTTTTCAAAGGTCGTCGTTAGGTCTTTTGCTTTTGCTTAGGGTGCCACAAGCATGACAGCCCCTGTCAGCTGCTCTGTGGTGAGTCAGGGCTTGCTGACACCCAGGAAGAAAAATTGGACCCCTTGGGAGATGGACCGATTTTGGAACATTATTCTTTGCCAGCCATGCAGAACATCCCAAGAATAAATAAATCCCAACACAGCATTTGCAGCAGAATGTCAAGTTCTTCCTAGGTAATAGGATCTTCATGGATGGTGCGTTTTTGCATCTTTACATTTAGAAACGAGCTGCTTTAAAATCTCCCCGTGCAAAGCATGATAGATTCCTCCAAGTGATGCTCAGCTGTCTGAATTCACCCGTCTGTATTCCATTGGGCAGCAGTTCTCATAGTTAGCACTCCCGATCCAGCTAAGGAAACTGCGTTGGAGCACAGAAGCCAGGATGACCCTGTTCAATGAACAAGCACTGTTCACTTCTGCGTACTGTCATTCTGAAAGCTCCTCCGACTGTTGCTTTGGTTTCAGTGAATGCAGTCTTATGTAAAGCTGCCCCCAGTGGCGAAGAATATTATGGGCATGTGCAGAAATATCTTCCTCCCCCCTCCCTCCCCCCCTTAAATCTTGCAAATGAGTAAGCCCTGTGCTGGGAAATGAGTGATTGTTCTGGGTGACTAAATAGGAGCAGACTGGTCAGCCTCAGTATACACTAGTGAAATAGTTGGAAATTTCCCTGGGCTTTTAGCTTTTCATTGTCATCTTTCTCTTTTGGGTAATTTAACTAAGCCTTTTAAGCCCAGCATCTGCTGCTGAGACTTCCACCTAACATAAAGCTTGGATGTAACATTTCTTTTCATTTAGGCAAGAAAACAGTGCGCACACAAGCCCATACTCACAGAAACCTGCGTATATACACAATGGGTGTAATTGAACACCACAGGCATTACATTGTCATGTAAAACACACTAATCCTCGCTATTACCACTGGTATACAGATGGTAAGTACTATGAGTAATCAGGCAGGAAAACTTAACAGGTCTAATACCAGTGCAGTTAACTTTTTTGGGTGGGTGTAGGAGGAGGCATGTCTGTATACTGACTGGCATACTACAATGTGTATTCCCTGATCCCCCACATCTATGGAAGGCACATAACCCCCATTTGAGACTCTGAGATCTACCTCTGAAACCCCACACTGTCTGAAGATGGCAAGTGGATCCGAGGTATAGTTGGCTTGATGGCAGGGTGGCTTAGATGCATCCCTTTCAGTGGGCACTTTGTGATGCTGCCTTTTAAGGTGGGCTTGATTGTCATGTCAACTTTTTAATGTTGTTTCCAATTAATTTTTCCTTTTCCATGTTTGTTATGCTTTTAAAAATGTACATTTTTTGTTACGTTGTTGTTTGCTGCCTCTATCATTTTCATGGAAAGGTGGATATAAATTGTTATAAATAAATAAGGATAGTTAATAATAATATATACGCCCAAGCAATGCACGCATAAATACATGTATATGTGCATACAGTAATGCTGTGCATGTTCTTCATAGCCTTTCCATCTCCCTAGATTTCGCCAGCTTAGAAGTAGGAGACACTGAAGTGTGGGTTTGCAAGAGTTGAGATCCTCTTTGAACACCCTGCTCTCTAATTTGGGTGAGAAAGAGGGGTCCCCCGCAACCCCCAAATGTCTGTCTTGTGTCCATAGATCAAGTGGGACACCTCAGAGGAAATTGCCAACTGTACAGCAAAATGGAAGCACATTAATTCTATGCAGTTTAAGACTCCTCTGCATTTGCATCTGAGTTGCCTTCTTTGCTGTTTCCCACATAGGAAACATGCGAGTTTCCATTCAGTGCTGCAGCCATCAAGTGATGGACATCCATGTATTGAATGTTCTTACTTGGAGACAGTCAGTGATGTTCTTTATTCGGCAGTCTACCATTTATCTTGATGTTTCCCACATGGTACAGAGAAGCTAGAGGGGAAAAGGATGGTGACAGATTCTGAATTCGAATTATTTTACCAGTATTGTAATTCCTGTTTCCTGTTTGAGAAGCCATGCACAGTTTTTCAATTACCCTGTATTCTGCCTTCCTTCCAGGGCCTAACTACACATGACATGAATGGTGTGATTAGCAGTCATGTCAAGGCTTTTCAAAAATTAAATATCAGGGGTGGGTGGCAGTGTTGTGCTCAGGAACATAGTGTTCAGTAAGGGAAGGCTAGGTCTTCAGTATATTCCGGCTTATTCGGCATATTTACGATACAGCATTTCAACAAGTATATAGGATTTCTATGGAAGGTGAAAATGGAGCTTTGATACCCCCCAACTTCTCTCTCTCTCTCTCTCTCTCTCTCTCTCTCTCTCTCTCTCAATATACAGCACAATGATTGGGTCACTTTGCTCCACAACTTGCTCTTGTTGCTTCAAATCCTTAAGAATTTGAAGCTTAAAACATTCATTGAAAGCAAAAGAACCAAAAGCCTTGAAAGCACAGCACTCAAACAAGACTTGACCTGGAAGTCGGCCCAGGCAATTTTGGTTCGGAAGTTTTGAGTACACATGCAAGTACCTTTGTGTACTGCTATTACATAATCCAATTCTCTGTATATAGCCAGCCTTCTGCTCCTTTTTTTGCTGCCTTCCTCTCTAAATATATGATTAAGAAAAGATTGCACCTTGTCCACAGAAGTGTAAAGGCAGGGACCTTTCAGTTTTGCATATAAAGCTCTCTATAAAGTTCTGCGTGCATTGATGTCGTGGTGGAGCATGCTCTCATAGCACCTGGGGTTGTAGTGGACAGTGTGACTGCACTCAGAATACTGTGTAAAGTTTTGATTACCTCACCTCAAAGAAGGTGTTGTGTTTTAATGATGTAACCCACCCAGGATCCTTATGGTGAAGGCCGGATTAACAACAACAACAACAGTCTTGTAAAGCTGGAAAAGATTTGGAAAAGGTCAATGAAAATTATCAAGAGGATGGAGCAACTCCACTATGAGGAAAAGCTACATTTTATTTTTTACTTTAGAGAAAAGCTGAGTAAGAGAGAACATGATAGAGGTTTATAAAATTATGCAATGAGTGAAGGAAGGATAATCTTTTTGCTCCCTCTTTCATCGTACTCATGGGCATCCAATAAACTGAATGCTGGAAGATTTAGTACAGATAAAAAAAAGTTCATTCTCACGTGACACATTGCATTCGCTCCCTGAGGATATAGTGATGACCCCCAACTTGGATGACTTTAAATCAGGTTTGTGCAAATTCATGAAGAATAAGGCAATCAGTGACTGCTAATCATGTTGGCTATATTCTCCTTCCACTTTCGGGGGTAGTATGCATTTAAATACAGTTTGCTGGGAATGGCTGGTGGGGAGGGTGCTGTTGTGCACAGGTTGTGTTTGTGATAACTCCACTATCAGTAATCACTTGTGTTTCACAAATTTTGTATTTTGAGGGAAGTCATAATGATTTTAACTGGGACACACACACAAACATACAATATTATCTGCATAACTAGGAAGTCACACAGATAAACTGGAAAAGTAGATGTACATATTTTATTATTACAAACTTAGTACAATTTGCACTTCATCTTTGGGTTTTGAGGTGAATGTGAAGTTTTCTTAAGCAGAGCATCTGAGGAAGGCTAATGAAATTTTCAGTGGGAATGCCATTTTATGTTGGCTAATCTCTTTCAAGTAGATGATAAACCCCACCAAGTTTTTGTTTTTTAAAATTACACCTGTACTGGATAGGCAATTCATTCAGATAAGAAGTTTGGCAAGTGCCTTTCCTCCCTTCCATAGTTCTTTGACCTAGATGGTCCAACATTTTGTTTCATCTGTCTTTTAACAAGGCCCTCTGATTTCTACATGTTTGTATTTTTGCTTGGGGAATTCTTACCTTGCATTTTCATCCCAACCTTTTGAAATTTGTTTTCACTGCTATTGCAAGGCAATGCTGTGTTTTTCATACAGTTAAGGGACATCTGAATTCCCAGGTCAAGCCCTGGCTTATGTCACAATTCATGGAGTAGCTTGTGCTAAGAATTCACATAAGGATTCACCTCAAGAACCCTTAACAAGAATCTGGGATGTCAGTGACAGAATTCAGAATGCAAAACCCCCCAAGCAATGCACGCATAAATACATGTATATGTGCATACAGAATGCTAAACAAATCAACTTCAAGCCCAAGGATTATGAAGCTGGCTTGTTTAAATAACCGGAATTTGTTTTAAATCACAATCTCTGGTTTGTATGATGTTCACTTGAACCCCTTCCTGTTTGTGCACATACAGCAAAACTGCCTTGGTTCCCACTATCAGGGCTTATCCACACTTCCTCTTGTCCCACTGCTCTTTACTGCTTTCTAGGCAAAGGACAAGTGGAAATGTGGATGAACCCTCACACACAGAATTTGAACTTGAAAACATCTAGAGGCTTTATTCAAGAAATCAGTACATGATCAAGGCATAATTACAGGGCACAGAGCACATAAACGGAGTTCTCACATGACCATAAAAGCTAAGCTCTCCCAACACCTGGTGTGTCCCTCCTGCTCTTTTTTACAGCAGGTGAAGGCTGTCACTCACGTGAATCACACCCACATTATATAAACAAACATCTGCCTGTAAGTGCTCTACCAGAATGGCTTGGTCTGTGTGTGCTGGCACATTTGACACCATGTTTTTGGAAACATAAACTTGTCTAGCTCCTCTGTTCCAATCTTGGTCTCGGGCTCAGCCAGCCCTTCTGATTGATCAGCTCCTTGGCAGGGTCTATACTGGCTTCAGCTCTTCCTCTGCCTTGGGAGTATTTGTCAGGGGTGGCAGCAATGACTTCTCAGGGCTGTGAAGATTTGGGTCTGGGCTTGAGTAGCTCCATGAAAGACACTTTGCCATTCTAGGCAGCTAGCAAACACTATGTGTGTGTTTGAAGAGGTTGAGCAATCAAAAGATACCAAATTTAGTACAAACTTTTCTTCTCTTCTTTAGCATATTTAGAATTTTCCATTAGCTGCTGCTAAGAAAAGCCTGTTATTTTAATCTGTAAGCTAATGGAAGGGTTCTGCATCAAAAATGTGTACGATCAGCATTTCATTCTGTGGTTAATGGAAAAAACATGGAACTGATCATGGGAACCATTGATGCTTTTTAGGAATGTGTATATAAGAGATGGCTTTGAATGCAGTATTTTAAAGCTATTGCTTTTTAAATAATAATAATAATACAGTACAGACATTTAAATGTTGTTCTGCCATGTTGTTCTGGTAAAACCAGCATCAGATTTTCATGTTGCTTGTAACACAGACCTGTTAAAGCTAAAATGCACCCCCAGAAGTATGGCTGGCATGATTGCAATTAGATGTGTATGCATTTGGTTGCAATTGTCACAAATACTTATTGGCTGCAGCCCATACATAACAAGTAACACCTCTACCTTAATGGATTTACTTTGGGTATGATTAACATTGAATACAAAATGCTTATATTTTTGTTTTCATTTGTTGTGTCATGGTGAACTTAA